AATGAAAATAATTTTTATTTCAGTACTTACTATGAGGTAAGTATTATTAAAGCTGAGTGTATACAGTAATCAAGACAATGTGTTATTGGTGTAAAGACAGACATACAATCAATGGAACAGAACAGAGTTCCAAGGTAGACTCACATAGATACGGTCAATTGATTTTCAACAAAGGTGCAAAATTAATTCAATTGAGGAGTAGTTTTTTTTTTCAATAAATGGTACTGGAACAATTAAACTTCCATATGTATCCATACGATACTGGATTAATTGAATTCTCATATTTAAAAAAAATGAATCATGACCCTAACTCACACCATTCATAAAAATTTATTTCTAGATAGACTGTAAAAATGAAACAGTAAAGCCTCTGGATGATAACATAAGAGAATATCTTCTTGACTGTAGCAGGCAAAGTTTTTTTAAGAGAACTGAAAAATCTCTATCCATAAAGGAATAAACTAATTAACTAGAATTTATCAAAATTACTTCTGAATATCAAAAATGCTTAATATAATAAAAAGGAAAAGATATTCTTAATATCTGCAACTAGCAAAAGACTCATATCTAGAACATACAAAAAGTTATCAGAGAAATACAAATTAAAATTACTATGGGATACCACTATATCACCTGAATTAAAAATGCTGACACTTGTGGGGCCAGCGCCAGTGGCCTAGTGGGTAAGTTCGGCATGCTCCACTGCGGCAGCCTGGGTTTGGTTACCAGGCACAGATCTACACTGCTTGTGGTCATGCTGTGGCAGCAACCCACACGCAAAATGGATGAAGACTGGCAACAGATGTTAGTTCAGGGCGAATCTTCCTCAGCAAAATAAATAAATACTGACACTTGCTAACTCCAAGTTAGTAAGAATATAGAGCAACTAGAATTCTTATACATTACTGATAAGAGTGTCAATTAGAAAGTCTACTTTGGAAAACTGTTTGGTACTATCTATTAAAGCTGAGTGTATACCTTATGATCCAGCAATTTCATTCCTAGGTATAAACCCAACAGAAATGTCTACATTCATGCATCAGAAGTAATACATAAATATGTACAAAGCAGCAATGTTCATTAAGGCCAAAAACTGGAAAAGCTCAAATGTCCATCAACAGTAGAATGGATAAATAAATTATGATCTATTCATTAATGAAATGAATGAACTATTACATGGTAAGATCTCACAAACATAACACTGAGCAAAAGAAGCCAAACTAAAGAAGCCCAACATAAATCTTTATGATTCCACTTACTTATATAAAGTACTGTATGATTCCACTTATATAAAGTACTATATGATTCCACTTATATAAAGTTCAAAAAGAGGCAAAAACTAGTCTATGTAATAACCAGGATAATGGTTACCTTTGAAGTGAGGGAGTAGTAACCAACAAGAGGCACACAGGGTGCTTCTAGGGTTCTAGTAATGTTCTATTTCTTGATCTGGGTGAAGGTTACATTAGTGTGTTCACTATGTAAAAATGTATTGAGTTGCTCACAGTAACATGCACTTTTCTGTATATATATTATTCTCAATAAATCATTAAAAAAGTTAAATATAACCAATTGTGTGACTTACAAGCAATGTCTATAGATTGTAGGGAAGTAGAAGCTATACAAAGGCAGTATATAGGCTATAGGCAAAACAGGTAATCCAGACATTATAAACAATTCTTAGCTAATCCCTAGGTAATTATTCTATGAATATTCTAAAACTATTTAAATAGAATACCAGATTTAATACTTTGCCATTGTATAGACATAAGCATAGGGGTAAACTATAAGATCATGAGTGACCATAAATAATCTCTATGTGGCCCACTTTTGCTGGATCTCTGCAGTTCTACTCACATATCACCTTTCTTTTCACCATCCTCCCCTAACACTATCCATGTCCCATTTCCACAGGCAAGTTCTTTAGGTAACCAAATGCCCACATTATTTATCATTTCAAGCCTCTAAAGACACTAAAGGCATTAAAACAGAATCCTACTGTAAAGCTACATAAATTACACTATGTCTTTATTAGAAGAAGAAATTTTCTAAATTAGTCTCAAAATTCTTCTCAAAAAAAGTCAATAAATATATAAATAAAAATATCCTCTACTTTCAATATTTTTTCACTTTTCCAAGTACTTTAAACTTATTATTTGTTCTTCATTAGTCTTTCACATTATGCCACTGGACAAAGCCCTTAAAAAAAAAGAACCAAAGCAGAAAACTATTTAAAATTTGTTTCTAGTATCATACAGAGTTGCTTGGAAAAGAATTCATTCTCCTGATACGTCAGCTCCATCACTGAGCTAAAATTCCTTCCAGGTGTTTGGGAACAGTGCTCTCACCATCGTTATCTCTGCTATCCATAGGATAAGCATTGGCTATTCCCCAAATTCCAGAACCATTTGCCATTTCACTGCTTTCCTCCCACACTCAAGTGGTGGTAGTTCAAGTTGGCAGTTTGTCAAAAAGAATCAGAATATAAAGCACTTGATGATCTTTAACCAAATGTATTTGTTGTGTATACCGCATACGCCATATATATGTATTTCACACATTATAATAGAACACAGTGAAGAATATACTGCATAATCCTAGAATCCAAACAGACTTCTCTTTGAGGACTTCTCTTTAAAATAATTTACTTGTATTGAGCTAAAAATGTTGACTTATTTTTTAAAAAATACCATTTCACAACTATTGCAATTATCATTCCCTTCTAAGAATGACCAATGACTTACATATTTATTACCAGATGGTTTATGAAAACTATGTTGTCAAATAGATCACGTTTTCTGAAAGAAACAATACCAGAATAGGGTTCCTATTCTTACCAAAGAATCAAAAAGGAACCATAATTACTAGATATAATTTGTCATAAAAGCAAAGATAGCATTATAAAATTTTATAATATAAAGTGACAAAATGCTTCGATTTTTTAATTTATTTAACAAACCTTTATCAAGTGTCTCTTATGTGTCAGGCATTGCTAATCAAATAAGGCCTGGTACTTCCCACCTTCAAGGCATTAAGAGTCTAGATTTATTGAACAAGAAAATCAATGTTTGGTGTAGGGGGTGGTAAGTCCTATGAAACAGAGGTGCTCAGAGTCTGTGGGGACACAGAAGAGGGGCATCTAAATCAGCATCGAGGAGTCAGTATAACACTTCCTGGAACAGATGACCTGGGCTGAGCTTTGCTGCGTGAGTTAGAATCGGCTGAATGAAAAAAGCAATCCAGGTGAAGGAAATAGCTGGTAAGGGAGGCACAGAGGCATAAAGCAACATTCAAGATACTGTGAGTTCTTGTTTGAAGGAAAGTTTGAGAGGGTGACAAAATCAGGAAATGAGAAAAGAGAGAATGGTGGAAGACAACTCATGAAATGCTATGGGAGCTAGATTTAAACGTTTGAACTTAATCCAGAAAGATAATCCCCCTAAATCCTTCAAAAACTACCAAAACAGATTTTAAGCAGGGAAGTAAAATGAGTATATTTTCATTTTTAAAAGATGTCTTTGGCCAAAATCGTCCCATTTGCAACAACATGGATGGGCCTGGAGCGTATTATGTTAAGTGAAATAAGCCAGAAAGAGAAAGACAAACATTGTATGATCTCACTCATATGTGGAATATAAACCAACACATGGACAGAGAAAACTGGACTGTGGTTACCAGGGGCAGTGGGGGTGGGGGGTGGGCACAAGGGGCGAAGGGAGTCACATATATGGTGATGGACAAACAAAAATGTACAACCCCAAATTTCACCATGTTAGAAACCATTAAAACATCAATAAAAAAAAAAAAATGAAGTCTTTGGCTGTGGTATGGGGCAAGAATAATGCAGTAATCCTGAATTCAAGAGACAACATTAGTAATGGAGAAGAGGGAAAGATCTGAAAGACAAAGGGAGATAGAATGTGTTGAATTTAGAGATTAATTGGAAGGGAGGGTGGAATGAGAACCAAGAGTCTAAACTGACTTGGTGACTAACTGGCTGATGGTACCAGGGCAAAGAAGACAGGACAAAGAGGGGGTCTGAGACAGTAGGGATTAGGGAGGAATGACAAATTCATTTCAAATTATCTGGGGCATTATGTTTTTTATATATTGTCTGAAGAATCTCTATAAAATATAATATAAAATATATAAAAAATAACTCCCTTGTATTTGACCTAAAGTTTATTATGGCTAGTATATTCATTTTAATTATTTAATTAGCAAAAATTTCCTTATTTTTTTAAAGTTATGTTGGGGATGGAGAGAGAGAAATATTTGAACACAGCAAGTTTCTTTTACAAAGCTGAACACGAAAATTTAAGTTTTCTTATCCTCTTCTTATTCTTTCTTGCAACAAGCTGATATATAAAATCATTCCACTGACAAAAGAATATTGAGCAGTTCTTCTCAAAATAGGCTGCAAATGAAACTTTCATTCATTAGAAAACTGTTGTATTATTATAAGTATAATAACAGTGAAATATACATTTTTATTATGTAATATTAACATAGCAGCAACATGAGTTCTGCATAGTTTATGCAAAGCATTATGTTTAGGAAATCTAAACCTCCAGAAAATCAAAAAATAAAAAATGTACTTCTGAGGTGGTCAGGTCTGAAACTTCTATCTCCGATCGTTTTACAAAGAACTTGATAATTTATTTGTATATGGGAAAAGATGTCTTCAGCTTCATTAGTCATTTCTCATTATATTCTATGACAAAAAAGGATACACTTCTCTGTGTTTGCTACAGATAATCTACGGCATGGTGAGGGGAAGAAGTTGCCTGGAGTCACTGAACAACTAAAGGGAAGAACTAGGAGTGGGACTCTGAGCCTTGGAGCTGTCTAATGAGCCACTCTGCCTCCCACAGCTAGCTCCTCAGAGCTGGACAAAAGACTAAGGAACTCAAGTCAACAAAAACAAAACACTCACAAATCTAATTCGGTAACACCCTAAGGATATGCAGTTTGCTCCTGACCAGGACTAGAGGACTCACTTTCTTTGCGAACTTCCTCAAGTGCAGCAGTAAGCTCTTCCTTTAAAACTGTGGCTTCCTGGGCGATCTTCTCTCCCTTGTCTAATAAATTCCAAGTTGCTTCCTCCACAGAAGCTAGAAGGACTCTGGCTCGTTTTGAACGTCCTTTTTTCCTGTTGGAAGGATTCTGGGGACAATTTACAAGTGTAGTAACCTGAAATCAAAAAAATACAAGTCACTCATTTGACAAATTGTGAGGATAAACGGTCCTGGGATATCATAGCCCAGAACAAAAGGAAGTATTTCATAGTAACATGATTCACTTCCAGTACTATTGGCACACTCCCAAAAGTCAAGTGAAGGCACCAAGAGCAATACTATTAACCACCACAGAGTTCCCAACTAAAGATGGAAGGAAGGAAGGAAGGCAGGCAGGCAGGAAGGACAGAAGGAGGGAGGGAGGGAGGGTGGGAGAGAGGGAGGAAGGGACACAGAGATTAAATCTCATTTTACTATTGGAACAATGCAATACATATTTTATATATATACATATATATATATCAAATAATTATTTATATCACTTTGTAGCCAGCAATCTATATTAAGAGGAAGGCAAAAATAATTATAATTAAATCAGTAAGTATTAGTCTATTTAGGCTGAGAATAGAGTTTATTAATGTTGGGTGGGGGGGCAGAACCACTCTGAAACATATAAAACAGTGGCTACCTCAGGAGAACAAAATCCAAATCCTTACTATGACCTACATTCTAGACCTTTGTAAACTCTCTTACCTGTCTCCTACCCTCTCCCCTAACTCAGCTGGCCTCTCAAACAAACAGGTCCCACTCAAAGTCCCCTATCAAAAGGCCTTTCTCGACCACCCCCATCCCCAACCTTCTCCCACTCTGTCTCCTCACCCCACTTTATATTTCCTCAAAACACTTATAGAGCCTGACATTTTTTTATTTGTTTATATGTTTATTGCATGCTTTCCATACTAAAATGTAAACTCCATGAAAGCCGGAAATGTGTTTTTTTTCTTCCGGCACCCAGAAAAATGTGCAAAGTAGGTGTTCAATAAATATTTATTATAAAAGTGGCTTAATGAATGGGGTAGTTGAAAAGAGGGATTTTTTAATGTCTGTATTTTGAATTATCTGTATGTATTAATAATGAGCATGTATTACCTTTGTAAATTTGTTTAATAAGGATAAACTCATGATAAGAGCATTATTTGGAGATAGAAATTAAGCATCTGTATTTGGAAACAAAACCTCACAAGAAATTACATTATGAAAAATATCCATTTCTTAACTAAATCTTGGACACCAATAACAAAATTTGGTTAACATTTCATAAGCAAAGCTAGAAGATCCTCATTGCAGAGGAAGAAAAAAACAACTTGTATTCAATATTTAAAATAGAAGCCCTGAAACTGAAAGCCAGACTCCTGCAAGTCATCACATAGCCGAGGCTTATAACAATCATGCACCACATCTTTGACAAGAGACTATTTATAACCCTTCCTGCTCTGCAACCCCTAGAGATTTTGCTTATTTATTGTTTATGGAGCATTAAATATTTGTTTATTTGGATATATAGACCCAGTTTTTTAGCTAGGAACTGAGAAAGAACTTACAAGCTATGGGGGAAATATGTGGATGAAAATAATTTTTGTCTGCCCCTCTATTCTATTCTCGCATCCCATAGACCCTCTGCTTTATTCTAATTTGCTTTATTCTCATGCTCACAACCCAGAGTGAAGTGCCTTGTAGCAAGACTTTGTCTCTTCTCTTGGAAAACAAGAACAATCATATTACCCTATACTACTGTGTGAAGATTAAATATATAAAATGTTTTGTAAAATGCATTACATGACACAAATATTGGTTGAATTTAATGTATATTTTCTAGTCCATTCCCCACGCGGCTATAGAAAATCTGTTATGGGATCCTTGTCAAAGGTGTTCTCTCTGGGTCTACCCTTATGCTAAAGGTACTATCTTGGGGTCCCTTGTGCTAAATGTGATGAAGTCAGTTGATAAAGCACATTCTATACGCTTTACAAGCAGCCAAAATAGAGCCACATGTCTTTGTCGTGCATTATACAAAGATGATAATATTCTTGATTTATTACATGGCTTTTCACATACTCAAAAAGGCAAATATCTCACTATTGTCAGTCTAATTTATATATCAAGAGTTAAAAGATATTTGTCCAGATTAAGACAAATTATAGCACCTAGTTTAAAACCTTTGTTTAAAATGAAGAATAAGCACTATTGTCTAAAATGTTCCTTCAGAATGTATTTTAAGTGCCACAATTCATGACGCTTCCCACTGAACATTCCTCTATTATTGTTCAGATCCTCCAAGCGCCAAATGTTTTCCATAGAATAGCCTGAACTTTGAAATTAAAATGAGCATTCCAGAAATGCTTTGTTCCTTATAATAAATGCCAGAGAAGTAAGAAATGTGAAAAGAACATTGTATAGGAACATTGTGCTTCCATCAAAAAAATGCAATTGTGACTTGCAAGTTATTCACTTTCATAAACCATTTATATCTGCGTCTTCTTTTAAAATACCCCAATACAGTTATCTAATGTTGATTAAACTAAAGTCGTGACACTTTCAATGATTTATCTTATTTCAGAAAAAAGGTAATCCTGCAGAAAAAAGAAAGCTAAACCTATTTTTTTTCACCACAACTCACCTACAGGATCTAACCGATTCTCATCAGTGGCTGGTACTCACTATAGCAGAGGATTCTCACTAAGGGTTGGAGTGCATATGTTATTTGAAAAAGTCTCTCATCTCTTGAAGGAATACCAGCAACCAGTAAAAATTAGCTTTCTAGTTATTCTATAAAAGAATTCCTGTTTCCTCATTTTCTTTTTCAATATAAAATCAGTTATATTTTATAAGGAACAAAAAAACTTTAGTTGGAATTTACAGCAAAGATAATTCTAATGTACCGTCCAAGCCCATGCCTTGCTAAACTTTCTTTTTGTCAGTGGTGCACAACCCTCCCCTTTCCCTCTTTCTCAGACCCTAGGGGGTCTCTCTCATATGGACAGTCTTCAATTCCAAGCTCTTAAAGAACTTGGGTTCACTTACTTTCCTTTCATCTGTAAATCTATGCCAGGATACCAATACACCTTCATCATAGACACATGAATGAGCTTCCCATTGAAATGGTCCTAAGTTAGATACTTCAAGTAACATGAAAAGAAGAAATCCCCTACTTTATTAATTCTGTACATTTAAAATTCCATAAAACAAAGTGTATTTTTTTTAAAGATTTTTTTTTTATTTATTTTATTTTTCCCCCCAAAGCCCCAGTGGATAGTTGTGTGTCGTAGCTGCACATCCTTCTAGTTGCTGTATGTGGGACTCGGCCTCAGGATGAACGGAGAAGTGGTGCCTCGATGAGCACCCGGGATCCGAACCCGGGCCACCAGCATCGCAGCGCACGCACTTAACCACCAAGCCACAGGGCCGGCCCAACAAAGTGTATTTTTAATGGTGTGTGATATTTACATATGAAAATTTAGAGGACCAAAAAAACGATTTTTCTAATCTTTCCTAATCTCAGTATGCTTCTCTAGATTCTCCAAAGATACTGAAAATTAAATTGATATGCTTAGTGAACCAAGCCTTCAACTGTCATTATATACAGCAACGCCAATGCACAATGGGAGCATTGCAGACTACCACGCGAGGTTGTGATTTACTTTCATTTGCTGCATCGATGCAACAATTGCTTTAGTACGTCAGACACTAGCTCTGTAAAGTCTTTTCCTATGCCAATTTGGGTAACACATTTATATTCTATAACCATGTTCTTTCCAATCTAACTCTAATTTCTTTTTAATTCTACTCTCATTGTAGTATAAAAAGGCCATGTTAACAGCCATCTCCTTTCTTGTTTATTAGCTAAAACACTTTGAATTTTAACCTTCCTCCAATAGCTCACAGGAGCCTTCAGGGTTACTTTTGCTTCCTTGAGTTAATTTTAATCTGCGAAATAAAATATAAGACATTTAAACCATGCTAATTAGCTGAAAACTTCAAATAGAGTTCTGAAAGAAATTAAAAGGGTAGAAAAATAAAATTGTTCATAGATAAGTAAAACCAGTGATCTTTTAAAGTAAAAGCTATCATCTAGTCTTGGGGAGAGGGAGTCCCTTCTTCAAGGCATTGATAATTTCAACTGTGCATTATTTCCTACCAAAAACAAACTTGACTACGTTAACAAAAGTACTGGAGAAGATTGACACGTTGGGAACCCAACATATGCATATCCTTTAATTAACATTCAACACTCCCCCAAAACCAACTACAATCTTCTTTTAGTCCATCGCAGGCCAATTTATTGAGCACACATTATGTCCAAAACAATATCCTAGACCTTTAGAAAATAAAGAAGAGTAAGCTCCAGTATGGTGATAGGAGAGATTCACAACTAGCTGCAGTATAAAAGGGAGAATGGTAACTGCTTATACTTATAAAGGAAGCACTGAAGAGATTGCAAACATTCATAAGGATTAAGCAGGGCTTCCAAGAAGAGTCTTTAAGGATAGATAGTTTTCTGACAGGAGAGATAGAGGGGAAGGCAAGCTAGGTGAAGGGAACCATGTGCAAAGGGGCAGAGATGGAAATTATTTTTGTCTGAGAGTAGCAGATAGTCAAGTTTGGCAGACTGTGGGGTAAAAACAGAAAATTGAGCGAGCAATAAGGCTAGGAAGTACGTTGTAGCTTAAATATGAAAAATGTTAAAAGCCAAGGAGAGAGTTAATAGTTAATTCAATAGGCAATAGACACTTCAAACACAGCATGCCCAAAGTGGAAGCCTTCTTCCACCCACCTACCTCTCCTCCATCTGTGTTCTTACCTCAGGGACTGATACCTCTAACATGAGGCAGAAACCCAGAGGTCACCCAGGCTACTCCCTCTCTCTCATCCTCCTCTCCAGGTTCTTTAAATTGTCTTTTTAAAAGCTTTAGTTTCTGTCACCTCCTTTCCAGCCCACAGCCATTGCTTCCTATAGCTGCCCCCTGGATTATTGCTCTAGCCTATGCTCCCTCCAAGCCATCCTCCATGACACAAAAACAGGGCCTCAATCTCAGCCCTATCCTCCACTCTACCGTTATGAAAAGTATATGCATCAGTTCTGGCCCTCATCACGTCTCCACACCCATCCCACACTTC